TTGGTGCCTCTGCCATACAAGCTGCTATGATTTTCTTATACGCCTCTCTCTAGTCGTGCCGAGGTGGATGGATTTTGTGCGGTGGTGGCATATCAACCATGTAGGGGTGGTGCCAGCTTGTGCCCTGGCCGATGCTACTACTGCATTACTACCCACTACAGCACTGCAGGCGCATTAAACGTATGATACATTAGGCAATGCAATACGATTTCAGGTATTCCAAAGTGGTCGGCAACCAAATAACCCCTATTTTTCTTAGGCTAAGTATGTCCATTCTAACAATTACTTCTTTCTTCCTTCTACATCTCGTAATAAAGTGGATCATTTAAATCATAAACAAACAAAATTAGCCCTCTAAATTTAGATATTATAAGGTGGCTTAAATCGAATCCATCAGGACCAGCAGCACAATGTCCCAAAAATTCGACAATTTGTTAAAAATAGCAAAAAGTCCTAAATTAGCTTAATAAGGTGGCTAAACGAAGCCATCAGGCCACATGCACAAGGCGGAAAACATTAACTTTAACAACTGTTTCCCAAAATATTAATATATTAAATAAATTCCAAATAAATATCTTGGGTAGATTCAGTATACATCACTATTTCAACAAACAGCAAAAAATAATATATTTTCGAAAGTTAAAAATACAGCACGACGACATAATTTACCTTTCGTAAACAAGGGAGCTAAAAGGATCCCGGTTGTACAGAGCCTTCATCCCATAAAGACTGTTGTCTATTCCCAATCACCACGTCCCGGGTGACAATAATGTCCGGAAAACAGACAAATTAATAAGGACATTATGTGTGCATTAAATCGATTGAGGATTATTTCGTTCCCCTTGAAAAATATCAATTCGATCCTATCTGAGGCATTAACCGCTCTCACAATTAGGCCACCGGAGCGGTACATAGGTGGTGGATATGATAGGCATGGTGGAGAAAATGTTGGTTACGATGCATTATGGGACTTATATTCCTCACAGGTTGAGCATGAAGATTAATAATTTGACGAAATAGTAAGGGAGTTAATTAAACAGGAAAAGGAGAAGAAAGAGGAAAAAGAAGACATGGGAAGATGGATCTAGAAAATAGACAAAGAATTAGACAATGAAAAGAGGAAGAAGAGGCGATAGAGGAGAAGAAGAAAGAGGGGAAAGAGGATGAAAAGAAGAAGACGAATGTGATGGAGAAAATAAGGTGCTAGTGGAGAAGAATTTAAAGGGAGGAGAAAAAGAAAACGTTAAGCAGCTTTTTTAGGGTCATTCTATTTTCCCTCTCTTAGTAAAAACATTACGCGCAGAAGTTAGTTCCCGTGAGCCAAATTTGTATGAATGGTAAGCGTCGACCCGTACCGTTAGACAGTACGGTGCTGAAGTTGGTTCTCGCTCCGCCAGGTCTTGTAGCATATATCCGCTGTCACTGTTTCGCCCTATTGAGGAGGTCACCCACTTGGAACATTGTTGCCAATATCAATTACCTTGACGTCACCCTAATTCCATTTCCCTTGTCTCTAAACAGTCAGAATACCTTTTTTGTCGCGATATAGTACAATCCCCACATTTTAACATAGAAGTCCCATTGTCGCTATAACATTCCACATTACTACTCACGTCGGCTATTATCTCATTCCTAAGAACCATAATTAAATATTGCATGCTCGCTCCATGACACCTTCCTCGTACCAACTTGTTGATTTTAGATGTCTTCCATATCCACCTGTAAGTTTAATCCCATTTGCTGAATCGTTTTGAAATACTAGGTTTTACCGATCACTGCAATTTCACCTCTGTCAGCGCGGCTTCGATGTTTTTATTGCGCTAGAGTGGATATGCAATAAAATAGCTATCCATGGGTCAGTAGATCTTGCTAGGGTTTTCCCAGGTAGCTCCTTCATCAATCATGCAGGCCTCCTTTTATACCCTATCGGGTAGGGCGAAATAGTGTTTAACCCACAAAAATAATTCCATACTTTCAAAGAAGTATCATTTTTCAGCTACAACATGTATCATCTGGGTGTCGTATAGCTAGTGTATAATGATTGTATACTCAAATCTTTAAGGAAGCCCGCGAATATCCACCGTTACTTGCCAAATTAAACTATACCGGTCTTGTTCTATTCTGCCATTGATATTTTTATCCAATATGCAAGTGCATTTGGTAGCTTATGGCGAGCTGTTTTCTTATCGCTTCTAGATCAATATTCGGGACCGTCCAAGTTAACATCAACCTTAATGACGCTATAGGACTCAACGTATTAATTCAGATCCATAGTAAACTGAAGCAAACACTATGATATTACAAATTAAATTACTTAAAATGTCTGAGTCCCCATGATCAAACCTATATTTATCAGTATAAATTAAACCTGGATGTCAGTTTCTGTGTAAAGGAAATGATATGAGCCGAGGACCCCTGCATGTGTTTGAAACATGTGCTTTCAATTCCTCACCAAAGATGGAGTCAGGTGATAATTTTAGTAATGAGTGTTCCAAACTCAAGACTTTAAATGACTGGAATTTCATCAATAAAACAATGTCTCTATCTTTTGCCACTAACAACAATGATAAGATTTCAAAAGATTATTATTCCTAAAGCATAACTTATATTATTAACCAATCCTGGCCATCCAAACCCATGTAAACTCTATTAAATATTCACCCATTTTCACGCTGGTTCCCATTTTTCTATACCATTCATACCTGGTGTCCTGTAGCTCCTTTCTTGTATACACCATGTTCAATGTGACAATTGCATGTCCTTCTTAGTGTTTCGATTTCAGCGATTTCAGCGATTTATCAGCCGATATATGCATGTGTTTCTTCGATTAGTTAAACCAAATATGCGATACAAACAAATCGTGACTGTTACATGCCGTTGAAAATAAAATTAATTATAAGCAGCAAAACTGAGTGAAAGCTTAATTCATTGAATGTCTGTGCTTAAGTCTTATACAGTTAGTGCTCTTTGAAGAGACTATAATACCCAAGACAAACAAGAGTGTAACGGGGGGGGAAGGAAGTAATCCCTGCACTTCTCTTAATTATTAACAATTTCGCAGTATATATATATATATATATATATATATATATATATATATATATATATATATATATATATATATATATATATATATGTATGTATGTATGTATGTATGTATGTATGTATGTATGTATGTATGTATGTATGTATGTATGTATGTATGTATGTATGTATGTATGTATGTATGTATGTATGTATGTATGTATGTATGTATGTATGTATGTATGTATGTATGTATGTATGTATGTATGTATGTATGTATGTATGTATGTATGTATGTATATGTACGTGTGTGTTTGTGTGTGTGTTTGTAAGCCTTTCCACCCAATGAATTTTGGCTTCGTCTCTGCCCCCACCCCTTTGGAAAATTTCTATGATCGCTTTTGTAGACATAACGTTACATTTATTACTTCATACCATATATGACAAGGAAGGAAATCAATACGCCCCACTTAAACTATCTCCGAAAAATGAAAGATTATCACTCGAAACGAAACAGGTAGCTTAAATGACATACAGCAACCGGATGGCTGTAAATCATTATGTTCATCGTGGTTTTCACATGTAATAGTTTTATAACTGTTTTCTGGAGATGATGTTACATGCTTACAAAACATAAGCAAACGAAAAAAGTACAATTTCTGGTATTCTTCACGCTCTATTCAACATTAAACAGAATGTTTAGCTCTTTCATATGATATACTCTTTCTCTCTTGTTGGAAGATATATATATATATATATATATATATATATATATATATATATATATATATATATATATATATATATATATATATATATATATATATATATATATATATATATATATATATATATATATATATATATATATATACTAAACATGAGGGATGATATTCTATAGAAAGGAATGTACTTATCTACATCTTTCCGTAGTAAAAAGAAATGAGTTGTGAAAATTATACGTATGTCTTTAGGGAATGACTGGATTGTGTCTGCAACACATAAATACATACTGTGTGTATGGTGCTGTGGCAATATAAGTAAAGTGTCTTTCTCAGGAACATCCCACCTGCGTCCGAATCTATTTTGTCTTAATATAATTTAAACCCGCAACCTTCCTTTCGCGAATCCGATAAGCCCATCACCTTGAGTTGTAGAAATACATTAATGCTTCTAGTTTGCTTAATGTCGCCATTCAACTCTAATATCAGTGTGATTTGAAAATTGTTCTAAGACATATTGATCCTAAACACACCAGGTAGTCAAAATGTCTTCACTCAGGAAGTTAGTTTAGATCATTTAAATGGATGATTATAATGGTGATGACAACGACAGCAAGCATGGCAATTATGTTAATAATGATGACATTGCTAATTGTGATGATGATGACGATGGTGGGAATAACCTTTATAAATAACGAGTGAAATATAGGACATGGTGTAATACGACCTGAGCAATAGCTGGGTGCCTTGACCAAAGTATAAAGTCTAGTGACTTATCTAATGTATCTCTTTCACCTATAATTTTTAGTATTGGCAATGGTACAAAATAATTTTCACTGGTATCAAATGCAATAATTTACATTTTATTTTCTCTGTCATTACACTCCTTAAAATTCAAGCTGTGTGTATGTGTGTTATATAGTACTGGCACTATTGGTGTAATATAATAACTTGTACGATGAAATTTATTTAGGTTAAGGGTAATTTATGGTTCAACTGATTCAAAAGGTCCATTGTGCTTAACTTCGTATCAACCTTGGTGATAAGCGACTTCACGTAAGTGTGTTTGGTTATACAAAAGGAGTTCTTATCGGGATAAAGTCAGTTTCGGATGTTTCGATAAACAAGCTTCTTTCACTTGTTCTTCCACTAGTTTATCTGTCCTATTCCTCCTAGAGATAGCATATATAATATAACTATTACAGCTTTTATATATTCCCAGTAAAGCTCTCATTTTATTTCGGCAATTCGACCGCTCTGGTGGCCTAGTGGTTAGAGCATCCGCCTCTGATGCGGGAGTGCGCGGGTTTGTTCCACTGCAGAGTCATGTCAAAGACTTTTGTTTGAAAAAAAATGGTACAAACAGATTTCACGCTAGACGATCATTATTAGGAAGTTTCTGGGTTGTTGTGGGTTTTTTTTTAAATTGATAATCTGTATATCCATTATAAATATGGAAAAAGATATATTACTTACTCTCTATTTAATGTTATTATTTTACCAATTCAAGGGGAGTAACCTACTTTCCGAAGAGTACGCACAAATTAAACACTAATGAGATGACATTTGTCAGAATGAAAACCTAACATAGATTGACCATTTTGTAGGACTAGAATAGTGTGACAAATACACACCTATTGACAAACACCAACGACTCTTATAACACTTCTTGACTGAAACATCCACATTACGATGACCGCAAATATTAAAAAGCAGAGTCGATTGGCTGTGAAAATATTACCATTTTTATGGACATTAGAACAACTCTGCTCTAAATATGCTTTCTACACATAAAAAGGAGTGGTGATATTCCCTACAACAATAAACTGATGCGTGGCGTAGCACCAGGAAGGTGATGTTAATACTGTGCCAAACTCTGGATTTCATAATCATTGGAGTAACACGTGTGACAAGCCCTGCTTCAGCCAACACACCACGTCACCTGCTCCAATTAAATTGACGTTCCCACGTCCACCCCGACCTTACTAAGGATAAATATGGGTGAAAGCTCAAGAAACGATTCCGGTAATCTTGCAGTGATGCTATGATTTTGTACTTAGATGTAACACATTCAAATGCAAATTGCCCATATATCTTCATAACCCAATCCAAAAGCCTCAGTCAGAGCAATTTGTAAAACTTGGTAGAAGTCAAAGTGCAGTGCTTCAACTGTTACCTTAAACGTTACAAAATGGAAATATATATATATATATATATATATATATATATATATATATATATATATATATATATAATTAACAAATGATCTACTGCAAAAACATTCATTAAGTTGGCTCAGAAAGATTCAAGGGACTTTCATTATCATCACATACAGTTTATTTGTTTAAAAAGAGAATGCATCTCCAAAATATCTTGTAAGGTGTTATGTTATTTAATTTATTATGTGTGCTGAACTGTTGTCCATGGTTGCAAGATGTACACATGATTAATTAGGTAGCTGTTACTGTTATCCTTGATTATATTACGTAACAAGAGATCAAGTTCAGTTTTATTTATAGTTAGACTAAGTTTTTTTTTCCATTGGAAATATTCACATTCTGTTAAGCTATAGTTCAAGTAAAAATTTCTATAAATAGGGATTTGATAAATAAATGATTTATTCATGTTCTATAACAGTCTGTTGGAATTTGTTTGCAATTGTATTGTTGACATCAGATATAATTCTAAAAAATTGTTTATTAAAAATATTATATGGAATTAGTAAAATGCTCTTTTACCTTTTGTATTAATACACACACATTATTATTATTATTATTATTATTATTATTATTATTATTATTATTATTATTATTATTATTATTATTATTATTATTATTATTATTATTATTATTTTATTATTATTATTATTATTATTATTATTATTATTATTATTATTATTATTATTTTATTATTATTATTATTATTTTTATTATTATTATTATTATTAATTTTAAATTAGGACATTAACTGTATCATTGTATTACATCAGGACATTCAGAACTATTGGAATTAATTCAAAGCATCCCATACCTTTGTAATTATGAAAGAACACTTAGGATTAACTGGGATTTAATTCACAAAATTATAAGTTTTTCTTGAATTTTTTGCTATGTATTGTACAGAAATTAATTGTTTACTGATTTTACTTATACGGTTGGTTTCGCTTCTTTCCGTTATATGTTTTATGACCTAGAATTGCGAAAACGGATTTAAGTTAAGCGCAAACAGCCACTACATTATAAATACCAGGTATATTTGACCACAGTCATCTGACTGGAGTAAAAATGAAGAATACCAGGAAACTGTTTAACTGTTCCTTGTGCACGAGAAAGTCATTTGTTCCATGCAAATCTATACTTATCTGAGGAATAGATTAACCGCACATTGTCGATGCCACACACCCGCAATTTTGGATATACATTAATCTTAACCAGCATTAACAAAGAAAAAAAACTTTATAATGATCGGAGCGACTAGAAAAGAGAATTTCTTTTGGAAATATTAACTAATCAATTAACTAATCAAAACTGGGCTTCTAATTTGAAAATGCTTATAAGACATGATTGTCTGTACATATAGGTAATGTCTAAATATTTTTTTTATTTACTTTTGATTTTGAAACTTTATGTTTTTGTTTTATTCTTGTAGGTTTTTATACAGTAATTTCCAGTTCTTTCAATATCTTCAGTCATGGATATTTAAACCCATACAGTAATGAGACTCTATTAATGAGTGAAGTAGGGTGCTTTACTGCTACATTTTAAATTGATTTTTCTTTTTCACTTCATATGAATCAATATGCGCTTCACAACGAAAGGGAAGTAAATCTCTGTCTGTCTGTCTGTCTGTCTGTATGTCTCTCCTTCTCCTTGGTTGTGCAATTTATTTTTAATAAACATAAGTCGTTTTGCAATGTAATAACAAATATACGTTTGTCTGTTTTGCCATACTTGTCATATCAGAGCATAACGTAAAAATACACATCGGACATTATCTCGTTCTTAACGTTGTTAAGAACCAGCTAATTAAATATTGCATGATCCATCCTATGACACTTTGCACGTACAACTTGTTGATTTTAGATATCGTCCATATTCGTCTGCAAGTTTAATCTCGTAATTTTAAGGCACCGGTTGGCCAATTGGTCTAAAACGCTAGCCTTTAACGATCACTTTAATATCACCCCTGTCCGTGCAAATTCGAAGTTCGGACGAGGCCAGTGCTGATATGCACTAAGGTAACTTTCCGAGGGTTAGTAGCTTTTACTCAGTTAACTAATCAAAACTGGGCTTCCGGGTTTACCGGGTTCCTACTCCACCAGTCATACTGGCTGCCTATCGTGTACCGAAAAAACAAAATGCGTTTAACGCACAGACACAACAGTCCCTTAATTTCAAAGAGGTGTCACTGTTCAGTTTAAACTAGTATCATCTGGGCATCGTAAAGTGCTTGTACACTGAAGGAAACCAATGAATCTCCACCATCACCTGTCAACTTATGCTACAAGGATCTTGTTCTATGTAGTCATTGATAATGTATCCAATATGCAAGTGTATATGGTAGCTTAAAATAAGACGACATATTTTAAGATCAGTACTCGAGAATATCTAAGCATCAAATTTATGGCGCTTTAAGTACTTCTTGTATGCATTGGGTTCACTTTAAGAGTTCCGTGGAAAGCTATTCCTGCCCAGAGGCAAGAAAATTAAAAAAAAAATACAATCCATTAACGGAGAAAAATTAAAAGCGTTATTATTCTGTTATTCTTCTTCGTACTTAGTTTTTAGCGCTTCATCAGACGATATACGCATTTATTTTTATCCATTATATAAAACAATAATGCATTACAAATCGCATCATAACTTTTTTCAGTTAAAAATAAATTAATTATAGGCAGCCCAACTGTGTGAAAGCTGCTTTCGACACATGTCTGCGTTTATGCCTTCCACAATTAAATTTTGAGGAAACTATAATAAAGAAGGGAAACATGCGTCTACGTTGGAAAGATTAGTCCCCCACTTAATTCTTGACAAGTGTGTGTGTGTGTGTGTGTGTGTGTGTGTGTGTGTGTGCGTGAGTGAGTCTTTTTCTACCCTTTAGAATTTGCCTTTACCCCTGAATCACCGACGGAAAAATTTCAACGTACGCTAATTGTTGACACAGCATTGCATTTCCCTCTTCATACTATGCATGACATCAGCTTATTTGGAAGGAAATGAATATGCCTCAATTATGCTGTGTCAGATAAATGCAAGTGGATCACTAGAAATGAAGTTTTGAACTTAACTGACTAATCATTCTGTTTATAGTTATATTAACCGAGTTAAATTTTATAGGAGGCGATGTGATATGGTTACAAAATACAAAGCGACTAAAAGTATATAATCTCCGACATTCTGCATGCTCCGTTCAACGTTAAACAGACTTGTTCCCTCTTTTATATGGTATCATCTCTCTCTCTCTCTCTCTCTCTCTCTCTCTCTCTCTCTCTCTCTCTCTCTCTCTCTCTCTCTCTCTCTCTCCTTGGAAAAGCATATATTGTATTCACTTTATTTTAATATCCTGATCTATTTATAAGGATAGGAAACACGAGGCATGAGGGATAATCTTCCATAGAAAGGATTACACTCTTTTACATCTGTCCATTGTAAGAAATGAGTGTAAAAATGAAAGATATGTATTGAACACTTTAAAAAAAAAAACTGCTTTGTCATTAAGGATTGACTGGGTGGTGTCTGCGGCACATACATGCTGCTTGTGTCGTGCTGTGGCAACATGATTAAAGTGTCTTTTATAGGAACACCACACACACAGCCTAATCGATCTTGAATAGAATTCGAACCTACAAAACTCTTTTCGTAAATCTGTCTCGCTTATCACGGAGCAACCGCGACATGTAGAAATACAGGAATGGTTCTAGTTTGCTTAATATCGATTCTTAACTCCACTTTTTGTGTGGCTTTAAAGTTGATATAAGACATATTGATATTTAACAAACAGTTGTAACGAAGATGACAATATTGGGAATAAAATTAATAACAGAAGCGAGAGGAAATGGACATGTTCTAATATGAACAGTGCAAGTTTGGGGTACCTTGACTAAAATAATGTTTAGTATTGGCAGTGGTACAAAAGACAATCACTGGTATTAAATGCAATAATTTACAATTTATTCTCCATGTCATTACACTCCTAAAAATTCATGCAGATGTGTTATACAGTACTAGCGCTATTGATGTGATATATAAAGTTAGGTACTGTGGAGTTTACTTAGGTTACGTGATAGAATAATCTATAGTTTAACTCACGGTATTTAAGTTTGTATCA